GATTACTTGTATATTTTTAAAATCTTTAAAATTGGGTAAAGAAAATTTCTATCATACTGAGAAAGAACATATATAGTTTGTGAGCTTTATGGGTTTTTTTTTATATATATACACATTGTATACAACTATGATATAATTTTAAGATTTTTGTTGAGTAATTAGTGCATAAATTAATTTGCCCCAATGTCTACCACTATTTAGTTAAAAGTGATCAAATGTGAAATGTATTGTTGATTGTTCATGTCATTGAATATAACTCTCACAAAGAGGATAGATAAAGTTGAATTACAATAAGAACAAGTAGAAAAAATAAAGGGGAAGTGTGCTCAAGTTAGACAACAAATTAAGCCAAAACCAAATGTTTAGCCCTTTATGTTTGTTACCTTCTATATATCTAATTAAGGCATTGAAACTTTTCTATTGTCGGAAATCTGAGGCATATAAAGCTAATGTTCTTGATGTGCATAGACAAATGAAATTAAAGAGAAAGATAAAGTCCTCTTGTGTCAAAGGGGCAAGAAATGGTCATCCGCAGCTTTTTTTTAGTTACAATTAAGTCATCCTACCTCTGCCTATTGTTTAATCTTCGACTCCACTTTTTGGTCTCTATTTTCTTTAAGTAGAATAGAAAGGAAGTAGTGCTTTAAGATTTTAATCTTTCTCAGCATACCATTTTAGAGTATAACAATATGGATAAGGTTTAGAAGGTGTGAAGTGTGGTGAATATGCTAGTTTTCAAATGGATGCTTTGCTGGTATGGTGTGGAGTATCATTGATTTCCTGCACAATCTAGAGGGCATTTTCTGGCTTGCTGGGAGTTGGTTGTGTTGGTGCCTTACCAACACTTTTTTGCCAACCTTGTTTGCAATGTTTGCTAGCATTTGATTGGGTAGTTGCTTCCATATTAACTTTGTTGGGATGTTAGCTTAGCTACCTATGATGCTTCCTTATATTAAGCTTTTGTTATGTAATTTTGTCTACATAATAAAATCTTCCTTTTGCCTTTCAAAAAAGAAAAAAATTCAAATTTTAGTAAACAATTATCAAAACACTCCTCCAAGCTCAACCCTTTACTCAAACTTATATCAACTTGAGTTTTACTCAAAGGGAGACTCAAATTCTTCACTCAAATTCATATCAAATTTAATTTTTGTAACAAAAAAAAGATGTTAACTCCTCTTATTAATCCAACGAAAACTCAAAACATGTGCTCTTTTCCGTAAATTTGAGTTAAGGGTTGGAGGTGGTCTTAGTAGGCTTCATCAAATTGATTTTATTTTATACGAAAGTGCTAACTTATTGTCTTGTTGATAAGGATTCAATCTAAAATTTTTCACTCTATCTTGAACGATGGATTCATTCTGATTTGATTCACTCTATCTTGTAGGATGGATTCAAGTGGAGACCCCTTCTTGACCAATCTTTTACAAGTTTATGGTTTTTTTTTTTTTTTTTTATACACATTGTATACAACTATGATATAATTTTAAGGTTTTTGTTGAGTAATTCGTGCATAAAATTAATTTGCCCGATTGTCTACCACTATTTAGTTAAAAGTGATCAAATGTGAAATGTATTGTTGATTGTTCATGTCATTGAATATAACTCTCAGAGAGAGGATAGATAAAGTTGAATTACAATGAGAACGAGTAGAAAAAATAAAGGGGAAGTGTGCTCAAGTTAGACAACAAATTAAGCCAAAACCAAATGTTTAGCCCTTTATGTTTGTTACCTTCTATATATCTAATTATGGCATTGAAACTTTTCTATTGTCTAGAATCTGAGGCATATAAAGCTAATGTTCTTGATGTGCATAGACAAATGAAATTAAAGAGAAAGATAAAATCCTCTCGTGTCAAAGGGGCAAGAAATGGTCATCCGCAGCTTTTTTTTAGTTACAATTAAGTCATCCTACCTCTGCCTATTGTTTAATCTTCAACTCCACTTTTTGGTCTCTATTTTGTTTAAGTGGAATAGAAAGGAAGTAGTGCTTTAAGATTTTAATCTTTCTCAGCATACCATTTTAGAGTATAACAATATGGATAAGGTTTAGAAGGTGTGAAGTGTGGTGAATATGCTAGTTTTCAAATGGATGCTTTGCTGGTATGGTGTGGAGTATCATTGATTTCCTGCACAATCTAGAGGGCATTTTCTGGCTTGCTGGGAGTTGGCTGTGTTGGTGCCTTACCAACACTTTTTTTCCAACCTTGTTTGCAGCGTTTGCTAGCATTTGATTGGGTAGTTGCTTCCATATTAACTTTGTTGGGATGTTAGCTTAGCTACCTATGATGCTTCCTTATATTAAGCTTTCATTATGTAATTTTGTCTACATAATAAAATCTTCTTTTTGCCTTTCAAAAAAGAAAAAAATTCAAATTTTAGTAAACAATCAAAACACTCCTCCAAGCTCAACCCTTTACTCAAACTTATATCAACTTGAGTTTTACTCAAAGGGAGACTCAAATTCTTCACTCAAATTCATATCAAATTTAATTTTTGTAACAGAAAAAAGCTGTTAACTCCTCTTATTTAATCCAACGAAAACTTAAAACATGTGCTCTTTTCCCCAAATTTGAGTTAAGGGTTGGAGGTGGTCTTAGTAGGCTTCATTGAATTGATTTTATTTTATATGAAAGTGCTAACTTACTGTCTTGTTGGGATAGATTCAATTTGAAAATTTTCACTCTATCTTGAACGCTAGATTCATTCTGATTTGATTCACTCTATCTTGTAGGATGGATTCAAGTGGAGACCCTTTCTTGACCAATCTTTTACAAGAGGGCTCCAACCTTGACAACCAATTCATGAAGTCTCAATATCTGAACCAAGTTAGTCAAGGTGCTAGCCAATAATCTCAATTTTCAACCAAAAAAGAATCTGCTACGAAAACGTCACGCAGGGGCAACTTTTCTAAAGAAGAAGACAATTTGCTTATATCAGCTTGGCTTAATACTAGCTTGGATACAGTACATGGAAATGAGAAAAAAAAGTAAGAGATTCTGGAGGAGCGTTGGGGAGTACTTCCACGAGCACAAAACGTTTATTAGTGAACGTACTGATAATTCTTTGATGAACCGGTGGTCAATCATTCAACTTGGAACCAATAAGTTTTGTGGGTACTTTGCTCAAATTGAATCAATGCGTGAAAGCGATGTGAATGAGCAAGACAAGGTATCAGTTACATAGATATTTAAACATTTACCATTCAATATATTTTAAAATTTTGATATATATATATATATATATTTTCCAGATTGGCAAGGCAAAACTTATGTACCAGGAGGTTCATAACACCTCATTCCCATTCGAACATTGTTGGAATGTGTTGAGGCATCAACCAAAATGGTTTGAGACGAACCAAAAGAAGAATCCAAAAAGGAGTCGAAATTCCACATCTTCTCCTTCAACACCAGAGTTAGTCAATCTAGAGGAAGATGAGATCTCATGAGATACGCATATACAATTAGAGAGACCAATTGGCAAGAAGAAAGAAAAAGAAAGGCTGAAAAAATTGAAGAGCCAAGATACTACAAGTTCTCCAATTGCAGACTTGCTAATTGGCATGAAAGAAGATAGAAAGAAAGGAACTGAGAAAAAACTTGAAATGCTTGAGAAATCGTATATTATTCATGTTGAAAAAGCTGAATTGGAGAAATTGAAAGAAGAATAGAGAATCATGATGATGGATACAAGTGAGATGCCCCCAATGCAACAAAAATACTATTATCAGCGTCAAATGGAAATCATTGAGAGTCGAAGAAAGAGCAACAGTTCTGAGTAATTTATGAAATTGTTATGTTTTTTGTAACTTTTGATTGTTAGTTTGGTAGATTTTGTTTGGATGAAATAGTTGGATCCTTTTGTGCTATATGGTTTCATGATGTAGAAATAGGGGTTATTTTTTGTGACTTTTGACTAAAGTAAGGTTTATGTATATTTTGTAACTTTTGCCTATATAATACATTGGCATTTTGTAAGCTCTACTTGTTGGAGTTTGGTGCTATAAAGGTTATTCTATTTCAGAATGAAACTGAGTTGAACTGCTATTTTTTAGGTTGTTTTTACTGCTGTTTCGGATACTTTTGCTGCTGTTTTTGCTATTGTTTCAGAGCTATTTTGCTGCTGTTTTAGGGCTGCTTTGCAGCTGTTTTTGTGCTAAATTTGGGGTTGTTTTGTGCTGAATTTGGGGCTGTTTTGTAACTATTTTTATGCTGAATTTGGGCGTCATTTTCACCTCCAAAAACCACAAAATAATAGGATGAATTAATGTGGATAATTTATAACATTTTGATCAAATGAATTCATCAAACAAAATCAAAAACATAATATAAATCAAATCATCAAAATCTATATGTCTAGCACATGACTTTCCAAAAAATCAACTTACAAGCTACAACAGTTCAAAAAAAAATAAAATTACAAGCTACAGCAAAGGCTGTAATCATGAGAACCAACCTAGTGTTTAGGTCCATTCTCATTAATTCCAGATTGGCTATAGATTTGCCTATTCCAACCTAAGATTGGCTATAGATTTGCCACAAGTGCTCAACCAAATCCGATTGGAGTCGAGAATGAGTTTCTCTATCTCTTATGCGTCGATGTTGTTGAATAAATTCCATGTTATCAGGTGTACGTTCAAGTGACACTTGTGCATGAGGGATTTTATCGATTTGTTCATAATCAATGTTTTGCTCTCCTCCGTCATCTCTTTCATCCTCAATGATCATGTTGTGTAGTATTATACAAGCTTTCATAATATCTTTAAGAGTCTGAAGATCCCATGGTCGTGCAGGTCCACGCACAATTGCAAAACGTGCTTGAAGCACTCTAAATGCATGCTCTACATCCTTTCAATAGGCCTCTTGGGCCTCAGCAAAATGTTTATTCTTTTTTCCTTGTGGACAAGGAATTGTTTTCACAAAAGTTGCCCATTGTGGATATATACCATCAGTAAGGTAGTATCCCATGGTATATTCATTTCCATTAATGGTGTAATTAACTCAAGGAGCACGCCCCTGAGCAAGCTCGGTAAATACAGAAAACCGTTCTAAAACATTGATATCATTATTAGACCCAGGTAACCCAAAAAATGCATGCCATATCCAAAGATCATATGATACTACTGCTCCCAAAATAATTGTTGGCTCATGTGCATGGCCAGTATACATACCTTTCCATGCAGTTGGGCAATTCTTCCAGGTCCAGTGCATACAATCAATGCTCCCTAACATCCCAGGAAAATCGCGACTTTCGCCAACCGCTAGAATTCTAGCAATGTCGTCGTTGTTCAGTGACCTTAAGTACTCATAAGAAAAAATTGCAACCACTGCTTTGACAAATTTCTTTAGGCTTTTCATTGCAGTACTTTCTCCAATCCTCAAGTATTCATTCATAAAATTAGCTGCTACTCCATAAGCAAACATTCTAAGAGCCGTAGTTATTTTTTGAAGAGAAGACAAACCGAGCACTCCAGTACCATTTCTTTTCTGAACAAAATATGGTTCATAAGCTTCTACTTCAGATTGAATGCGGAGAAAAAGAGAACGATTCATTCAAAACCTTCTCCGAAATAATTTGGGAGGATATACTGGTAGATCAGCAAAATAGTTAAGAAAAAACCTTTGATGGCCTTGCAAAGGATTACGCCAAAGGAACTCGCATCGTTTACAATCAGCATGTCGTGACTTTGATGAACTCTCGGCTTCCATAGAAGCTATTGTAACTATCTCCAACTCATCATCGGAGTTGGAGTCATAAAGAATCATGTCTAGAAAATGAAGATTCATATATAAAAAATTAATGAGGATAGAATGAAAGAAAAATATTTCATTTAGATTGTGAGCATTAGAGAACATATGCTATTGTTGATAGTAGAGGAATATGACCGTTTGAAAAATTTTGACCGTTGATAAATATAGTCGTTGGAATGCACAGTAGAATGATTGAAGAATATGATCTAGTTTTGGATTTGGGGTCTTTATATTTTATTCGAAACGCACCAATTGGCCACCGTGTCAGTGACTTTCTAATGATCCGATCCGTTCATATTTTAGAGTTGATTGAGTAGATCAACCACAAAAATTTTCAACTTAATCGGAGATTAGCATGATGGTTGCCTGAGCCGAACTGCATGCCCCTGTTTCCTCCAAGAAATGCTACTTGATCAAGCCCCTGGAAATGCTACTTGATCAAGCCAACTCATTAATTTAATAAAAAAAAGAAAGAAAAACAAATACAATAAAAATAATAATTTTTTAACTAGATTGAATTAAAATAGAGAGTTTGATGAAGTGAGTACTAAAAATGTGACTAGCTAAAATAGCAAAATAGCTTTTTAGGTTATAATTTGACTAAAAATTTAAAGAGAATGGTGTGGATGCTCTTACAATAGCTATTTTAACAAAATTCATCAAGAATAGTTACATTTGAAGAGTCTTGGGGTTGTAAGACTCTTCAAACAGTTTGTGTATATAGATAACTAAAATAAAGAGTAGTGTTGATGTATATAGATAGAATAAAAATTAGGCAAAATAAATAATTACTTTTTTTAATATTTTAACTAATAAAAAATGAAGAGTGTGGTTAGTTGTCAATAATCCTTTCTAAATAATACTCAATCAAAAAGTCAAAACTATTTTTTTTTTCTTTCTAAAGTAATAGGAAGAATGTTTAGTTTTGATTTTTTAATTGAGGAAGAATTAATATTTGGGAGCTTTTTTGATAAATCTACTTTCTAAGAGCTTTATTTCATCCAACCCATATTTTTTTTGACTATTCCATTAGGTCCTATTTGAGATAAGAAGACAAAAATACCATTTTCATCTACTTATGTTTCATTTAGTTCACATTATTTTCTTATGTTTCAATAAGTCCTATGGGTGACATAATTACCAAAATACCCCTAATGTGAATGTTCACACCGTCAATGTGAATGTTCATATTGTCAATGTGTAGGGGCCCAACCCATGTCGATCCTCGTGGGTGCCCGAAAAAATTCGAGTCGGGCTGGGACGGGCTCGGCCCATTGACAATGTGAATATTTACATTGACATGTTAACATTCACATTAATAGGAGTGTAAAATTGGCCCGCGTCCAGTGGCTGCGCGAAACCCGCTCGCGGCCCATGGGCGGCCCGGGGCGGGCCTTGTCCGGCCCATTGACAATATGAATATTCACATTGAGATGTTAACATTCACATTGATAAGAGTACAAAATTGGCCCGCGACCTATGGGCGGTCAAAAGCCCGCCCGTGGCCCAAGGCAGGCCCGGCCTGGCCCGTTGACAATGTGAATATTCGCATTGACATGTTAACATTCACATTGATAGGAGTGTAAAATTAGCCCGCGCCTCGTGGCTGCCCGAAACCCGCCCAGGGCCCGTGGGTGGACCAAGCCCGGCCTGTTGTCAATGTGAATATTCACATTGACATGTTAACATTCACATTGATAAGAGTATAAAATTGGCCAGCGGCCCAAGGCGAGCCCGATCCGGCCAGTTTACAATGTGAATATTCACATTGACATGTTAACATTCACATTGATAGGAGTGTAAAATTAGCCCGTACCTCGTGATTGCCCGAAACCCGCCCACGGCTTGTGGGCGGCCCGGGGCGGGCCTGGCCATTTTTTTTTAATTCTTTTTAATTTTTTCTACCAAAATTTTATTATTTTCCACAAAAAAAGACACTAGGCCTCGGCGAGGGCCGTGCCTCGGACCGAGCCTTGAATGGGCCTTAATCGAGCCGATGGGCCGGGTCGGGCTTCAAAGTGGCCTAGGGTCTCGGACTAGGCTCGAGCCTGGGCCCAAACGAGCCTTTCCCGGGCCGGGTCGAGCCGGCCCACGGGCCAAAAAATTAGGCCCAGGCCCTAGCCCTAGCCCTAGCCCTGGCACAAGGGTATTCGGGCTTTGGACGGGCCGATGGATTGAGCCTCGGGTCGGGCAGGTGGGCCTGGGCCTAGCCTCGAGCTTGGTCGGGCTTGGGCAGGCCTGGCCATTTTTTTTTAATTCTTTTTAATTTTTCTACCAAAATTTTATTATTTTCCACAAAAAAATACATTGCGCCTCGGGCGAGCTGGGCCTCGGACCGAGCCTTGAATGGGCCTTAAGCGGGCCGATGGGCCGGGCCAGGCTTCAAAGTGATGACTTAGGCCCTAACCTAGGGTCTCGAATATGCTCGGGCCCAGACCCAAACGAGCCTACCCCGGGCCGTGGGTGGGCTTCAGGTAGCCCACGGGCCGCGGGCCAATTCTACATTCCTATCAATGTGCATTTTAACATGTCAATGTGAATATTCACATTGTCAACGGGCCGGGCCACGCCTACCCTGGACCGCGGGCAAGCTTCGGGCAGCGGGCAAATTTTACACTCCTATCAATGTTAATGTTAACATGTCAATATGAATATTCACATTGTCACGAGTCGGGCTGCGCCCTCCTCGGGTTGCGGTCGGGCTTTGGGCCGCCTACGGGCTACGGGCCACCCATGGGCTACGGGCCAATTTTACACTCTTATCAATGTGAATGTTAACATGACAATGTGAATATTCACATTGTCAACGAGCCGGGTCGGGGCCGCCCTGGGCCGCTGGCTAATTTTATACTCTTATCAATGTGAATGTTAACATGTCAATGTGAATATTCACATTGTCAACGGGCTGGACCGGGCCCGCCCCGGGCCGCCCTTGGGCCGCGGGCGGGTTTCGCGCCGCCACGGGACGCAGGCCAATTTTACACTCCTATTAATGTGAATGTTAAGATGTCAATGTGAATATTCACATTGTCAACGGGTCAGGCCCGCCTCGGCTCACGGGCGGGTTTCGGGCCGCCCACGGGCCAATTTTATATTCCTACTAATGTGAATTTTAAAATATTAATGTTCACATCATAAAATTGCTAACCGTTCAAAAAAATATTTATAAGGGTATCAAAATTAAATATAAGGGTATAAGTGTCCAAGAAAATAGTATAAATCAAGAAAAAAGATTTTGTGGAATAAAACTATATATATATGGGACTAAATGGATTAAAAAATTCCTTCACGAACTTTTTGGGTTAAAACACTTCTAAATGGAATTTATCAATAAAAATCCCTTAATATTTTGTTATTTTGGAGGCAAGTTTGGAACGGGGGAGATAATTAATTGAAGGCTTGTAATATTTAAGAATCTACTAATTAAAAAGAGAAAGTCTTAATTGGTTGAAAAAATGTAGTTATTTTAAAATAGAAATATAATAAATTGGAAACTTATGTATCAAAGTATTCAGGAGAGTGGCCAAATAATTACCATTATTTTAAAATTACGAAATTATATAAGGTGCCACGTAATGGAGACATTAAAATTTTAAAAAAAAATTATTTAGTAAAAAAAAAACTAAACTTTAATCTTTGTAATAAATTAAATCTTAACTTTTTAATTTCTTCAACTTAAATTCTAATATTCTAATTTGGCGTGAATCTAAATCATGTTTGTTTCTATTAAATAATAGTGATAGAGAATGATATTTTTAGTCACCACATTCATTACTTTGTTATAATTTTATGCTTGAAAACTGAATATTTTGATTTTAAAAAATAAAAAATCCCTCCTTACCCCACCCAACTCTATTTTGCACAGATCCACCACTAACCCGTCTGGCATCCTTATCTCATATCCACCACCTCTCCATGGTCCCTACGCCAGGGTGGGTTTATGTTGGAAAATGACTTTTATATTACCTTCTTTTTTTTTTTTCTTACTTTGAGCATTAATTAAAGTGGCACCCAAATGTTATTTTTAACGTTTTTGATTGGGTTCATATTTAATGCCGCGTAGTAAATAAATTCATATGTTTGGTTACTCAAAACCATTTCCGGATGAATGAGAATTCAACACGCGTTTTTAGGTTCGTGGAACTAGTTTCTTGGTGAGTTTCTTACACATTTGTAAAATGTGCTTATCCCACATTGGAAAGGCTTGAGGAATTGTTTGGGTTTATAAACCTTAGCATTAGATATTTGGGATTGGCCCCAATGGGTATCCAAGTTTGTGGAAGGGTAAGGTTATGGGTGAAGTGGGCTAGACCCATTGGACACAAGATAAAAACCGCGCGCGCGCCGCCGCCGGCAATCCGTCCGTTCGGCCGGTCAGTTGGGTTGGACTTGTCCAGTCCAATACTTAATTTTTTTGGGCAAAAAATATTTGTATTTATTTATTTAATTTTGAATTTCAGTTTCGAAAAATTAAATTAATTCTGGTCCAAATTTTTTCTCACCCAAACAAGTCTGAACAGGTTTCATACCTGTTGGTTTCTACGCGAACAGGTTTGAACCTGTTGAACCCTTTCCCGAACAGATCTGGAACTGTCCAAATAGTTCAAACAAATTTTCTATCTGTTCAAATATGTCCGAACAGTTGCCTATCTGTTGGCACCTGTTCAGAGCAGCCATCTTTTTGTCTATATAAAGCATGCTTCTAGCAATTCATAAGACACAATTTTTCCATCAGAATTTCGTCATTCTCCTACTATTCTTCTTCTATCTTTCCATATCTTTTCTATATTTATTTTAGGAAGAAAAAATGGCCATTTACATACAAGTCCCATTTTATAAACTTATAATCCAATAAGTCCTACATAAAATTATTTGCTCCTTCAAGTCCCATTAATTTTTAATAGGCCAATTCACCCTTCCAAGACCTCCTTGCCAACCACACACTCTCTCTTTCTCTCTCTCTCCTCCCCCACAGACCCAGTCTTTGGTCTCCTCCATATGACTCCTCATTCCCC